CAATTTTTCAGTATTTTTTACAAAAAAATCCCCAGTTTATCGGTATGCTTAGATTTTGATAAAATCATCTCTACATAGTGACATAACCATTATGTGAAACTTTCATTTAATTCTGCTGGCTAATTGCGAAAGGGTGGAGCCTCTTAAATAGCCACGTATTATTGAACAATAATCTGTGTGCATGCTTTTCATTTCCCAACCACAACCACGCAGCTACAATACCAAATGTAACCAAGCCACGTGTGACTAGGGCTGCAACGATATATCGCGATATTTTGAATACTGTACGATACACAATATTTTTGGGGTCGTTACGATACAACTTCGATATTTTACGGAATTTGTCGTATCTGAATTTAGTCTACTCCTATCCTTTCCAACACAGCCGGTGAAGATACAGCTCAGTATACACGTCGAAAGACATGAATTGTAGGAAACTTTAAAGTCATGCATGCCCACTTTGCAACAAATGTATTTCCAGTTGTAATACTTCCATTGAGAACATATGATATCTTTTGCTTCTACTTTTACTATATGTATCACAATACATATCCTATTGTGACTTAATCCTCGTGATACGTATCGTATCATGTTAACGTATCGTTGTAGCCCTATGTGTGCCTTAATGGACAAATGAGCTTTGTCAAATGAGGGTACAGGTGTGCATGTACATATTGTTTCATTGGAATGTGCCCACATTTTTTAGTACTTCAGGGGTAGGAATATACTATAATTTTGTCCTGAAGAAGTCCACTGTAGGGGCGAAACCAGTCGACACTTCTAATAAACTACAAGAACAACTTATTGCTTCTTCGCCTGTTGTGATTGGATCTATTTTATGATGTTCTCACTTTTACTCAATCCCCTTCATACTTTCGGGTATCCAGACGAGGAGCAAACGACCAAATTATTCCACGATTAAGAGAACCACAGCAATGGCTCTACCCTTGCCTTGTTTCATAATGGACATACATCCACATTTAACTGGGGGAACAGGCCCACTGGCTGCAGCCTCCGCAATTAACTGGGGGAACAGGCCCACTGGCCGCAGCCTCCACAATTAACTGGGGGAACAGGCCCACTGGCCGCAGCCTCCACAATTAACTGGGGGAACAGGACCACTGGCTGCAGCCTCCACAATTAACGACATCAGAGGCAGCTAAGCTGTGATATTGGTTTGTTGGTGAAATGAAATGAGGCATCACTTAAAGGCACTAAAGTAGACACAACTGTACAGTAAATTACAATTTTACCTTGTAGAATAGATATAATCAACAGATGTTTGTATATTATGGTGGAATATATATATCTATTCATTTGTTATGTTAGAAAACTAATTCATTCAAGCTGAAACAACCTATATCTATTTTTCTCGTTCATTTTTACGCCCTCATAATTCATTCGACCATATATTTCACCAACATATCAATTAACTGGGGGAACAGGCCCACTGGCTCCAGCCTCCACAATTAACTGGGGGAACAGGCCAACTGGCTGCAGCCTCCACAATTAACTGGGGCAACAGGCCCACTGGCTGCAGCCTCCACAATGAACTGGGGGAACAGGCCCACTGGCTGCAGTCTCCACAATTAACTGGGGGAACAGGCCCACCGGCTGCCGCCTCCACAATTAACTGGGGGAACAGGCCAACTGGCTGCAGCCTCCACAATTAACTGGGGGAAAAGGCCCACTGGCTGCAGCCTCCACAATTATCGGGGGGAACAGGCCCACTGGCTGCAGCCTCCGCAATTAACTGGGGGAACAGGCCCACTGGCCGCAGCCTCCACAATTAACTGGGGGAACAGGCCCACTGGCTCCAGCCTCCACAATTAACTGGGGGAACAGGCCCGCTGGCTGCAGCCTCCACATTTAACTGGGGGGACAGGCCCACTGGCTGCAGCCTCCACAATTTACTGGGGGAACAGGCCCACTGGCTGCAGCCTTCACAATTAACTGGGGGAACAGGCCCACTGGCCGCAGCCTCCACAATTAACTGGGGGAAAAGGCCCACTGGCTGCAGCCTCCACAATTAACGACATCAGAGGCAGCTAAGCTGTGACATTGGCTTGTTGGTGAAATGAAATGAGGCATCACTTAAAGGCACTATTGGATCTATTTTATGATGTTCTCACTTTTACTCAATCCCCTTCATACTTTCGGGTATCCAGACGAGGAGCAAACGACCAAATTATTCCACGATTAAGATAACCACAGCAATGGCTCTACCCTTGCCTTGTTTCATAATTGACATACATCCACATTTAACTGGGGGAACAGCCCCACTGGCTGCAGCCTCCACAATTAACTGAGGGAACAGGCCCACTGGCTGCAGCCTCCACATTTAACTGGGGGAAAAGGCCCACTGGCTGCAGCCTCCACAATTACCTGGGGAAACAGGCCCACTGGCTGCAGCCTACACAACTAACTGGGGGAAAAGGACCACTGGCTGAAGCCTCCACAATTAACTGGGGGAACAGGCCAACTGGCTGCAGCCTCCACAATTAACTGGGGGGACAGGCCCACTGGCTGCAGCCTCCACAATTTACTGGGGGAACAGGCCCACTGGCTGCAGTCTCCACAATTAACTGGGGGAACAGGCCCACCGGCTGCCGCCTCCACAATTAACTGGGGGAACAGGCCCACCGGCTGCCGCCTCCACAATTAACTGGGGGAACAGGCCAACTGGCTGCAGCCTCCACAATTAACTGGGGAAACAGGCCCACTGGCTGAAGCCTCCACAATTAACTGGGGGAACAGGCCCGCTGGCTGCAGCCTCCACATTTAACTGGGGGAACAGGCCCACTGGCTGCAGCCTCCACAATTAACGACATCAGAGGCAGCTAAGCTGTGACATTGGTTTGTTGGTGAAATGAAATGAGGCATCACTTAAAGGCACTAAAGTAGACACAACTGTACAGTAAATTACAATTTTACCTTGTAGAATAGATATAATCAACAGATGTTTGTATATTATGGTGGAATATATATATCTATTCATTTGTTATGTTAGAAAACTAATTCATTCAAGCTGAAACAACCTATATCTATTTTTCTCGTTCATTTTTACGCCCTCATAATTCATTCGACCATATATTTCACCAACATATGTATGTTGATTATTTCTGAAATAGAATGTTACACTTTGAACCTCAGAACGTGATATATTTCCCATTAATACACACATACACATATGTTGATCATTTATTAGACAGAACATGTTACACGTTGATCAACACATGCAGTAACTGCTGACAGTTCATAGAACCATTGAGAGTCAGTAGGACATGCGGGGGGGGGGGGGGGGTTTTTTTTTNTTCCAGGTCAACCTCACATAAAGAAGTCATTGTAAAAATAAACTTTATTTACTTTACAACAATTATGAAACATGTTTTTCCAACTTATATCATTCACTCTTGCTGTCCTAGATGAAAGTGCACAGGGGTTCATAGCTTGGTTATGTGGGAGGAAACCCAGAGAACCCAGAAAAAGCCGACCCGGTCCCGGGGAAGGGGCAGGGCAGGTGATCCAATACCTTTTCACATCGGTTCCTAAATTGAACTCTGGCCATCTTGGTGAAAAATGAGTGCACTATCAACTGCACAACCCTACCACCCAATACGTCATTGTACTCAAACCTAGTTAACGCCGTTAGATGTTTGGCCTATATTTAGACACAGATTTCAGGTTATGCTGCCTGGTAGTCAAACTCAAATGCTGCAGTGCAGACTTCACATACGCTAAATCTAGAGACTATAGATTACAAAGGAAATGCTTTTACTGATCTTTGTTCAAATTTACGTAACTCTTCAGAAAATCACTGATTAATCACTGGTAGAGAAAATGGTGAAAATACATGATTTTTAAAGACACTTCTCGGGGGGGGGGGNGGGGGGGTTCTTGAAGCCCAAAAAACCTCTCTAGGTCTGCCAATGAGATGTTTTAAACTCATTCACCCCTACATATTTAAACTGGACTTGACCACTCTTTGATTTGGTAAGGTTCAAATATGACTTTAGGGGGAAATGGGTGTGAATGGGAAGTGAGTGAGGCACATGCATGACCCAAGTACAATTGTCTAAACAGACAGAAAATGAAGAAATCACCAAATACAAAGAAATAATCCATGTGTCCATAAGATCGTTTTTATCTCCACAACTCGGCTGGGACAACACAAGATAGGACAATATCAATTAAGCGTACTTGCTCTGTAAAATGACACAACTTTATGAGATAGCAAATCAAAAACATACACCTTGCTTTAATCTCAAGGCTGTATACATTTATCCCTTATAATCAGATAAAACATTTGTGGTCACATTAACCAAGATTTGATATTTCAAGGATTTTGTAAAATTGATAAATGCCATATCATTCATTTTGAGAGCTAACTTGGTGATATTAGATTTTCACAATACCCTGTGTAGTGACACACACAACACTCAAAACCTAATAATAGCACGCATGCCGACAGTATGTAAACCGATACATAAGAATTACAAGTATACATTATAACATACATACACTATATATACACATTTACACAAAACATTTATAATGCAGGGAATTCTAACAGATATATGAAATTGAACGATTGTAAATAACAGTCCATTGTTTATTGTTTGGTGTTAAATCCGACTTGTTTATGGGTAGTTACACTGGTAGACTGTACAGCCCATATTTCTAATGTAAAAACAGTCACATCTAATCTCCGATCCCATCTATACTAAATACACACAGGAAACAAGGCTGGGAGGAGAATACATAGTGTGCATCAAGTCCACAAGTACATCAAGAGCAAAAGGATATTTATAGATTTGATGTCAACTACCACTTCTTAACATCTTACCGGGAAATCAGCTCGTCGCTCTCATGTTGTAATCAAATCTGGCATGTTATCATGCGTTTATTTTTAAGGTATATATTATTTTTTTGCAAGTCGCAGCAATTTTACAAATGACTGATTAAATAGACAGAATCAGTGAAACTAAAACGTGAACCACCTTTCATCAAATCTGTCCGATAGCAGTCTAGAATCGCTCCATCCTGTCAGATAATTTTGACTTGGAAATGTCTTCAAATCCCTTTCTCTGTATCTCGATCGACAACTCTTTTCAATCACACTTTCTCCGTGTCCCTATAGACAAATGTGTATGCCAATTAAAACATGAAGTTAATCAATATTCATCAAATTCTATTTCAAAGATATCTTTTGTAAAAATTATCTTCTGTCAAATTTTTATGGTATCATAAAAATCCAATGGATGTAACTCTGTCAAAAATTGATTGAAATGTTCGATGTTTCCACATATACATAATCAAAATTAGTTTTCATTTCATGTGAGATTAATGAAGCAAGACTTGCTGGTTTAATTTTATTGAGCAAATTTTGGTTCATATATGTCAATTACAAAAGACCTGGAAACATAAAATGTGAAATTAAATAACTTTAGCAGGGAAATATATTTCAAAGTAGAAAAGACCTCAGGCATATTCATCAATCAAACTCACACCCATCTGTTTGGATCCACAGCCTAATGTTGGATCATATTGTCATTATTAGTATTTAGTATTAACTCATTCACCCTTGAAATTTCAGAATTAACTGTTCCAAACATTGAATTAGAAGAGTTCAAATGTGTCTTCAGGGGTAAATGAGTAAAGGAAATAGTACCATGGCCACTGAACAGTAAGAATCACAAAGAAGAGTTCTATTGAGGGTTTTTTCGTCTTGGAGTTATCCTCCTTTCATATATAGAAGATGAAGCAACCAGAAGAAATTGTTCTGGCTTAAGAGTTTTGGGGTAACTTCCCCTGGCTTAAAGTAACTTCCTCTGTCTTAGGGTAAATTCCCCTGACTTAGAGTAACTTCTCCTGGCTTGGAATAACTCCTCCTGGCTTAGGGTAATTTCTCCTGGCTTAGTGTAACTTCCCCTGGCTTAGAGTAACTTCCTCTAGCTTAGCGTAACTTCCCCTGGCTTAGAGTAAGTTCCTCTGGCTGAGGGTAACTTCTCCTGGCTTGGAGTAACTTCTTCTGGCTTAGCGTAACTTCCCCTGGCTTAGAGTAAGTTCCTCTGGCTGAGGGTAACTTTCCCTGGCTTAAAGTAAGTTCCTTTGGCTGAGGGTAACTTCCCCTGGCTTAAATTAAGTTCCTCTGGCTGAGGGTAACTTCCCCTGGCTTAGAGTAAGTTCCTCTGGCTTAGCGTAACTTCCCCTGGCTTAGAGTAAGTTCTTCTGGCTGAGGGTAACTTCTCCTGGCTTAGAGTAAGTTCCTCTGGCTTAGCGTAACTTCCTCTGGCTTAGAGTAACTTCCTCTGGCTTAGGGTAACTTCTCCTGGCTTAGAGTAAGTTCCTCTGGCTGAGGGTAACTTTCCCTGGCTTAAAGTAAGTTCCTTTGACTGAGGGTAACTTCCCCTGGCTTAAATCAAGTTTCTCTGGCTGAGGTAACTTCCCTGGCTAAGAGTACATTCCTCTGGCTGAGGGTAATTATAACCTCCCCTGGCTTAGAGTAACTTCCCCTGGCTTAGAGTAACTTCCCCTGGCTTAGGGTAACTTCCCCTGGCAAGTAAGGTATCTTCCAATGTTCATTAATATGTTCAAAGACTTGTGTTCCATTAATTAGACTTTCAATTCTTGCTGTTTATCTATAGTTCTGGATGACAACATATGTAAAGTGCAGACTTCGTAGTATAAAGGTCCCGAGTTTATTACCAATGCAGTTTTCCTGTTTTCTTTTATAATATAAACTCTATTTATTTTATAACAGTTATGGAACAGGTTATATAACTAACATGAATCACTCTTGTTGGCCTGAGTGTAAGCACATGGGGGGCCTTAATGTGGGAGGAAACTGGAGAACCTAGATAAAACCTATGTGGTCGAGCAGATGATCCCATTCCTTTTCATGTCCGATTGGGGAATTGAACACCGGCAGTTTTGGTGTAAGGCGAGTGTAATTTCCACTGCACCATATGACCACCGGTTTTCTTTTTTTAAAGTTTATTTTCCAACATTCAAATCTCAAACAATTACATTCTGTAAATACATTGTATTATTTTTTTACGGAATACCTCTTTCAAAAAGACTTAAAAATATTTCAAAATAGTGACACCATTAGTACTATAATTTAACACGTTAGTACCCTTTACCTTAAACGTCTTAAGGTAACGGGTACTAACGAGTTAAACTATAGTACTATCTAGGTAATAATAATAAAAATAGGTATTTATTCCTGACACCTGAGTGTCTTACTGATATGCCCCTGTGGCGAGCCCCCGTAACTGATAACACAAAACAGAAGGATATCATCCATGTGTTTATCAAGTAGAATACAATATCTATCTCCTTTAGTATAGACATTTATCCTTTGTCCTATATACCTCATTATCTTACATGGAACCAGAGTGAGATTTGTCATGAATAAAAGTTACAAAGGATTCGATTGTCAAGTCAGATTGAAATTCAATATTTTCAAGTAAAAATACAATTTTATATTAACCTGCAAAAATACATCATAATCATGAAAGAAGTTAATTAAAATGCACGTTTATTAGATTTTCACAAATATAAATCAAGGGACATTGGTCCTTTCAAAGAAATGCATGGGTTTTAGATCTTTAAAATATTCTAAATTAATGTATTAAATCCCGTTTTTTTTATTTATACTCTAAATAATAAAACATTAAAATTTCATTAAAATCATAAAATAATACATTGTATAAGACAGATGAACATGTAAACATTTTTTTTAAAAAAAAAAATCAGAGTGTTTACAATTGAAATGTTTCATTTTCTAGTGTGATTGATGTTGTTTATGCTGTGTGTATCATATATTTGAATTTCCCCAGTAATATGACACACCATGTGAGATTAAGCCTAGTCTCAAGTTATTGCCCAGAGATTGTGTACATATCACTCCAGAGCTCAGATGAAACACTTTAACTCATTCACCCCTACATTTTTAAAATGGACTTGCCCAATCTTTGATTTGGTAAGGTTCAAATGTGACTTAAGGGGTGAGTAGGTTACACATATAATACACATCTAAAACCACTGCCTGGTATAATACAAACCCTATCCTAGCTGATAATTTCATTGCAATAAATTCTATATGGCTTGGTTTTTTAATTTTTACATCCAACAGTGAGTTTATGGTCTAGTACTACAATGTTATCCCCCTAGCAGTATCAGCTCTTACAAAACAGCCAGGTTTGTGATCCTGAGTTTCCCTCAATCTGTCGCATTTAATTAACATTTTTGCATAATGAACAAAATGATGACTGCGTTGATTAAAACTATCGCTATATGGCCCCAGCGGCTGCCATTATACATAAAATTATAAACGGACATTCATTTTCGATGATCAGACAACTTCAGCATACCTACGAATGGTTGCCCAATGTGAACAGAGTTATTGAGAGACCGTTAAAAACACTAACCAAGAGTACCTACAGAAGTCACACAAAGTATGAAAGTAAATCAACATGTCAATTTAGTCATTCAAAGTGTTCACCTGTAAGTCTCAGAAAAATCAAAATAATGTGATTTTGACATATAAGGTCTGTGACCTTGATCACCTATTCCATAGTGGCCTTGACCTTTAATGACACCGCAAATGGATGGAAGAAACACATGCACACCATCATATAATCATATATACACAAAGTTTCAAAATTTTGTAATTGGTTCAGTGTTTTAAAGACTAGACACAATGCAAAGTGGATAAGTATCCTTGACCTTTGACCTTTACAATTAGTAAAGCTTGACCAATCATCATCAGATGACGCGTAACATGAAATTGGTTGTGAAAAAAACCTTAAAAGGATATATAGATACACTTTAACACCACACAGTATATATATAGTTTTGACCTTTGACCATGACCTTTGACCATTACCTTTTACTCTTAGCAGACTCTGTGTCAGACATATTATACTGCTCTGATCGATGACCTAATTTGTTTACCTTTGACATTTTGCAGTTTGTGGCCCAGACAATGAATAATATTTTGGCTACTGACCTTTACTTTCAACAAATTCTAAACTCTAAAGTTAAAGTTTTTTTTAGACATCAGGATTGGAGATTTTGTTGGTTTTTGGTTTTTTAATAAAGATGGAAGAAAAATATTCAAGTCTCATTTGGAATGGGGCAGAAATTTTAGTGCTAATTATACACTTGAAAAATACTGTAAGAAGCTGTCTATATGAAAATACAACTGTAACACTAAACAGGAAATAGTGTGCTTCCACCAGGGATCGAACCCACGTTCCCCAAGTTCCTAGTCGGACGCTCTTCCACTGAGCTTAAGGGAAGTTCCCTCTAGCTCAAAGCTAGAATGCACCCTTAATTCTATGTACAATCAAAATCTGCCACACAACAGCAGGTTTACTTATCTCGTTGTGTACAAACATTAAAGTGATAAACAATGTCAAATTTCTATCATTTATAATTCAAAATATCTCTATCGTATCAAGGAAAAACCAAATATGGAGGAACAATTATTAATATATAATTTGCCTGTCTCAGAATTTTTGTTTAACTTTCATCTGTATATCAATTTGTCATTTAAAAAAAAAAAAAAAACTAAATAGGGAAACTTTCCAATATCACGTTACCGTCAAGATCATAAGTAAACAACCAGCGAGATATAATACAATACAAGTCTATTTCAAACCCAAATGAAAAATGTCTCCATGCATTTCAGCGATGTAATTTATCTTTGAGAAGCCTGCCAAATTAAAGCCCACATAACGAGATCTTACCTGCGACCCACAATGTGCCTCTGGCTACCTGAGGTCACCAGTGACCTGGTAATAAGGTCTAGCATTATGGGACCTCGAGTTTCTCTTAATCTGTTTACATATCACTTAGCTATCTAGTAACAAATTCTGTCTTATTATAAAGCCAGTCAACGCTCAAACATATTTTATTTAAATCAAATGAAACTGTTAAGTGTTTCAACCATTTCACCTTAAATTTTAAAAAAGAATTTTGAAAATTGACTAAGTTTTAAGACAGATCTATAAATAATGATATTTGATATTGAATGAGATATTGTAACAATGTTTTCGCTTTATATTAAAATGAATACAAATATATATATTTACGTTTCAATGGAATTTGATTCTGGCAAAACGA